GTGCTTAAGGGTCCATGTTTTTACGGCTCATTTTCTTACAGGCTTGATGTTACTCCTCCTCAGACACATGGCTGCAAATGGCCAGGGGAGCTTAAAAAAATTAAGGTGAAGAAGGCGGTGGGAATGAGCAGAGACATGCAAATAGCACTAATTCATGTAGTCTGCTTGCTTTCCAGCAGGTGAAAAAATGCATGTACAAGTGACAGCCTGTCCCATTTTAACATTTGCGGTTCCACTGGCAGGACCAGTATAGAAGCAAAATGAAGTTTTCTTCTGTGAGGCTTTTAGTGAGGGCTTTGGGAAGGACTCAAAGGGAGAAAGTGCTGGCATCAATCCAAGGGAGATGGATTAAGAAAGGAAGGTTGGTGAAGCACTGAAAGGAGGAATAAATGAATTGCTTGCACCATGTGGATAGCCCACTCTTCCCATAACATGACTGCTGGCAGTGATGCTGCTTATTGGGCCTGCTCACTTGCTTTGGGTCACTACCACCACCACCCCCAATCTTTAAATAGTGCACTTACTTAATTTGAAGAAAGTGCCTGCAATCAATAAGAAGAGATCCTTTTATCTTCTTCATCAATCTTTTGCTAATGAACATGCACCTTTTTTTTTTTTTTTTAGCTTCTTGGTTACAATGCTTTTAATTTCTCAATGTACAGGAATAAGGGAGCACCATCAAACACATGATGGAGCAGCTGATACCACATATTGCTGCTTGCTTCTTTCTGAAGAATTGGCATGGTCTTAAAGGAAAGCAGTAATCTGTGGAAAGATCATTTGCCCTGCACTGATGTGTGGTCTTCTAAGCATCCTTTCTTAAGCTGTGACCCAGCAGAGCTGTGAATAACCACTTGTGAAGACATACTTTCCTAATGTCCCAGTAGTTGCAAGAAAGTATATAATTCTTACAGAATCTTTGTGTGGGCTACTGGGACTTTATTTAAAGCAGATGTATATTGGAAATCCAGTGGCTTCCATGAGAATGACTCACCAAACCTAATTTCCAAAACTTCCAGCAAGTTTGGGTCTGATTATGGCATGACTGAAGATTCATCTCAGTTAAATGGTGTTTGCTGCTCTGATTTGCAGGATGTTGCCATCTTGCTCATCCTCATCACAGGCTGGAGGTTAATGCTGACTATGGCTTTGTGTCCCTCCTTGAGTGTTTTGGGAGTGGAATTTAGCAAAATAACACTTTATTCTTTGCAAAAACACTTTACAAAATAGAATTACGGTTTTGTAAGACTGAGTTTCAACCTGTCATTTACATATGGCAAGAGTCCAAATCTCAGTCACAGATTAGCTTCATTAGTGTAGGATCACACTACCTCTGCCTCTAAACTGAAAAGACCCAAGCCACATAATAAGCAGAAATAAATCTTTGCACAAGGACCTAACCAAATTACAAACAGGCAAGTAATTTCCTTCCTTATCCTTCTACATTGCCTACCAATGGTCTACCCTAGTAAAACTTTGTTACCTCCAAGGTCACCATCTGTCTCCTTTTCTGCCACAGTCTCCCTTTCTGTTAACCAGCTCTTAGCTCTTTTCTGAGTCATTCTTTTCCTCCAACTTGGGCAAGACCCCATGTTAAAGCACAGTATGCCAGTGCCAGCAGGTAACCACAGAAACGTAAAAGGCCCAAAAAGCTACAGGGAAGTACTTCTGAACTGCCGTAGGGATGGGGTGTAGGGATGGGGTGTAGCAGAAAAAAAAAAAAAAAAACAAAATCAGCAAGCTGTGCCTTCAGCTTACAGTCGTGTGAGAGACCATCAGCCTCTACCACAGCTACGAGAGCTGGCACGAAAGGCAGCGTGTTTTCTTACTAGCCTAGATGCCGTAGAGATCGTGGCGTTGTATTTTTGTCCAAAAGGTCCCTCAGGAGCCAGCCCCATGCAGTACCGGGCTGCAGCACTGCGGGCAGGCTGTGTGCTGCCTCTGGCTGTGGCCACCTTCGGAGCGGGGCCAGGGAAGCAGCCTGGCCGATGATTCAGCACTGCCTTTCTCTTATGTTGGCCGGGGAGCACCCGGAGCCGCCAGGCCCCTCCGAAGGCAGAGTGGCTGCAGCGGGGCTGGGGACGAGGCATCTCTGCAGGGTGCCCTGGTGAGGGGAGGCGAGGAGGAGGTGTGAGCAGACCTCTATCCTGCGCGGTGCTGGAGCCCGCAGCCTGCGCGACGGGGGAAGGGACCTGACGCGGCGGAGGGTACTGCAGCCTGGCAGGGGGCCAGCCACGGAGCGGCTGCGGAGGGTGAGGGTGGTTGCCGGCCGGGAGGAACCGGCGCGGGCCGAGGAAGGGAGCCTTAAAGAGCAAGGGAGGTAGCAGGAGCTCCGTTTAGCCAGGAAGGTTGGGGTGGGCAGGAAAGACCCTTTCTTTGGTCCTTGAGAGGCTGCAGGGTGGGGAGGCGGGGGGCGTCAGTGTTCCCACATGCGGGGAGCCCTGCTGGAAACGTGTCCTTCCGTGATCCAGGGACAAGATGCGCAGAGGTGGCTATGGTCTGAACCCTAACAATCTGCCTCTCCGTCCAGCTCTGTAGCCTTATGCAGGATTACTTCAACTTCATAACAAACCTTGTAAGAAAGGTGCAAGATCTCCACGTGCATTTCTGTTCACCTCAGCACCAGAAAGATGTGAGCAAAGAAGAAACATAATTTGAAGGAGTGTAGTCAAACGTGGAGTTGTAGTGGAGATCACAGAGGACTGAACATAGGTAGTTTTGCCTATAATGCCAGTGCAGGGAAGATGTGGACAGGGCAGTGGGTCAAACAGAAGTGCAGAGCAGCATCAGTAGGGAAAAACTGCCTTACTGGAAATAGGAAGGTTGAAAAATTAGACATGGATAAAGAAGGCAAGGCTTTTTAAAAAATTCGTGCCAAACACAAGCAGTATCTCATGTGTGCAATGAAGAGAGTATTCCCAGCTGGTTCTCAGCTTGCACTCTGCTTTGAAGAGTGATTCTTCAGCTTCACGCCTGAGGAGCAACTTGTGTGTGTGAAAGTATGCCTGATTTTCACAGATTTATCAGTTAATCTAGTAAAAGATACGTTCTTTCCCTAGAAACCTTGCTTACTTGTACCCACAGACCACCACAGCTGTCGCAGCTATACTGCTGTGATGTTACGCTTTCTACAGTGGCTATGTTGTTATTGCTGTTTGAAATAGGTTTTCAGATACTTGAAAGAGGCTGCACTCATGCAGAATATTACCAGCTAAGGTGCACATATGCTTTGTAGTAAGAGGAGCCAGGTATGTAAATATGCAATGCAAGCTGTTTGTTCTCTCTAAGGTTACTGCTCACATCATTAACCTGAGGACCAGACATTTCAGTGGTAGTGTAGACTAGGTTGTATAATGATTTATCTCCTTACATTCTTCCAGAGAGTCTTATCACTGGCTCTGCTTTAAGGTGAATTCTCCAGGCACTTGAATATAGCAGCATCATGATTACTTCAGTTGGCTACTACAGCCTCACAGGAAGCTTTGTGATCAGACATCCAACAATTAGTCCTTGACGTGACAGTCCATGAAAACTCTTTGGGATTCATTGAGATTTTGAGAAATCTTTCTTTAGCAAATGTTATTAATGTTCTCATGAAAGTGAGGGCGGGAGGAAGGGGGAGTGGGGGCAGTTGGAGGCAGAGAGAGGAGATGGGTAGAGACAGATGTCTTTTCTGTCACTACCAAAAATATGTAAGTACTAAGGAAATTACCTTTTGGATGCCTGACTAAGGTAGCAGCAAAACTGAGTTCAGGGCAATTTGTAGCACTTAATTATTTGTTTCCTTATGCATCCTCCAGCCCTTTATACTAAGGAGAAAGGGGGACTTATGCTGCCAATTCCTTAATGCAAATGTTTTCACAAAGTCCAAGGAACTGGAAATTGGGTTTAAAGCCCCTCTCCTTTTACACATATGTCTGTGTTGAGAGACTGGAAATAGAGCTGATACTAATGTTACTTTTATTATGTTAACTGGACTGTTGATTTACCCCAGTATTACACTGCACTGGTGGAAATTAGTGCTAGGTAGTGGTAGAGGTCGAGAATAACAGACAAATTTAAGAACAAAGCAGAAATCTTGTTAATAATAAAATTACTTCTGTCCCCTCCCCCCCTCCCCCCCCCCATCTACTGGGGAGTGAGAACATATGCTGGCAGCATGCGAGCTCTTGAAAAGTATGTTCAGGAGATGGCTTTAGTGTGAAGACTTTGATTTTTATGGGTTTGGAAAAGGGGATTCCAAAAATGGGCTATAAAAAAAAATAAATATTCAGACCTCTGTAATAAGTTAAATGCAAATTTGTCAGAGGCTGGAATGCTTTGGGCTTGGGGTTTTTCCCCCTCTGCTTGACCTAAGATGCATCCCAGCATCTTTCCTAGCAAACAAAACTTAGGGGCTTGGAAGGAGAAGCTGTCTCTAGGTGTCAGGCAGGGAGAAAATGCTGCTGGAAAGCTGTCTTCCCCCTGGGAGAGATCGGGTATCCGGCTGAGAGAGCCTGGTCCATCCCGGAGCCTGCTCCGGCCGCAGGACCGTGCCTGTCACCGATGGCCGCCACCTCGGCGGGGGAGAGAGAGGCAGCGGCGGGCGCGCAACTCCTGCACGCTCCCCCCCTTCGATTTGATGGCCTTTATTTCTCCTAATTGGATAAAATAGGAAGTCACTGACAGTCCTGCGTTGCCGGGTGTACTGATTTCCCTCAGACCAGCCCTGCAGAGGGCGGGGGGTGGGGTAGGGGAGGAAGGAGCGAGTCTACATCAGGGAAACAGGCTGCGAGGGGGCTGGGGGAGTGGGGCGGGGGGGAAGGAGGAAAGTGAATGAGAGCTCAAGAAGGACAAAGAGGGAGGGGAGAGAAAGGGAGTTACCACCGTCTTGGCATCGCTCTTCCTTTCAAACCTCTGTGTAATGATATTGTTTGCAGTGATGCTCAGACAGCGAGCACCTGCTGCTCTGTAATGATTCAGCCTCTTTCAGCCTCTGCTGTAACACGACAGGATGCTGCTGCTACTGTCACTTCTGCCGCTGCCGCCGTTGTTACAGATTTTGCTTTTGCTCCTTCTACCGCATGACAATTGTTTTCCTCGTCTAAGCAGATACCAGCCTCAGATGCTCAAGGTGAGAGTCTTGCCTTTCGCTCTGGGCTACTGGTTCACTTAATTTGCTCAATTTGTTCGATGTTTGTGGCTTTCTTTCTCTCTTGACCCTCCTTCACCTTGTTTTGTTTTGTTGTGCTTGCTTCGGGGTGGGGGGGAATGTTTCTTCCCTCCTGCAGAAGAGCTGGAATTGCTTGAGAGGTATTTAAGGAATTATAGAAGTGGCCAGCAAACAGGAGCTCAGTAATTGCAAAGCTAGTCTTGCTTCAGAGAGGCAGAGAGAGCGACAGAGGGTTCGGGGGCAGGGGTGTGTGTGTCTCTTTTTTCCTGCGTGTTACTCCTCTCCCAGTTTGGATGATGTTGCTGAGCTTGGACCTTTTATTGACTCCCACTCTGTGATTTCTGCAGAGCACTGTGACTATTACATCTCTTTTTGTCTGTGTCTCATAGTAATGGACTGTGATAGAGTTAAGGCCTTTTGGAGGTGAGCTGTTTGAGAGCTGATACTTAAACATGTCTGAAGTAGCTGCCGACACTTTCCCCAGCCCCTCAGCTCAGCTGAGCCCTGATGCGTCCCTCAACGGGCTCCCGGCTGAGGAGAACATGCCGGGGACCCAAAGAGAGGACAGGAGGGTCCAGGGAATAGCAGGCCTTGCCGCGACCTGCTGTGTGTGCCTGGAGGCAGAGCGACTGAAGGGCTGCCTCAACTCTGAAAAGATCTGCATCGCCCCTATCCTGGCTTGCCTGCTCAGCCTTTGCCTCTGCATTGCTGGCCTCAAGTGGGTCTTTGTGGACAAGATTTTTGAGTATGACTCTCCTACCCACCTTGACCCTGGGAGGATAGGACAAGACCCAAAGAGCGCTGTGGATCCTACAGCTCTGTCTGCCTGGGTGCCTTCGGAGGTGTATGCCTCACCCTTCCCCGTACCTAGCCCCAAGAGCAAGGCTGAAGTGACAGTGCAAAATGACAGCTCGTTTGTGCCCTCCAAACCGTTCCTCCAGCCTTCTCTGTATAACCGCATCCTAGATGTTGGGTTGTTGTCCTCTGCCGCACCTTCGCTGTCACCACCCGCCCTGGAGCCTACCACAACGTCTCAGGCGCAAGCAACAGAAACCAATCTCCAAACTGCTCCAAAACTTTGTAAGTAGAAGCTATGTATTTCTTTGTTTTTCTCTTCCAAAAAACCAAACCAAAACAAACAAACAAAAAAAGAATAAAAAAAGGCACTTAACAGTTCTGCAGCTGTCCTTGAGGGGGACATAATTGGCATGCAAAACTTAAATGTGCTAAGACAGGTATAGCAGCGTTACCTTCTCAGGAGAGCACCCAAGGGTCTCTGAACTTAGTTCTGAGGTGTGCATGGCAATTGAAGAGGGCTTCATTTGAGACCTTTGTAAAGTGCCAGTACCACCCTTTTCTTCGCATCCACTTGCAGGAGAGTATGTGATTTACTTCAAGGGTTTATTTGATAACTATTCCACATGGTCTATCAATATATTTTTCTTATAAATTTGATTTGCGTCCCATGTTGGATCTTCCATGTGTGTTCATTTTCTTCTCCTTGCCTGCAGAGCACTTCTGCTACCTCCTTCCTGAAGTCTGTTGCTGGCAAACATCCTTAGCATCCTCCTGAAACACTCAGGGAGAGCAGTGGAAAAGAGCAACAGCGTATCTGAAGCAGTTAGAGACTGGGAATTATTAATTTAGCAGCTACCTTATGATCTCTCCCATCCCTTTAAAAGCATAGCACACATTTCTCTGCATCCTTCCCCTCCTCTAGGAGCTGATGCTCATTGAACCTGTTTCTTAGGCATTGCCTCATTGACTTTTGTGGGGTGTTTCAGGAAAGCATTCTTACCAGTGCAGGAAGTCAGTTTCCAAATTAGTATTTGCTCACCCTTAAAGCAAAAAATATCCAGGGTACCTCTATTATTTTATCGGTAGCAATCAGAAAGCCTCCAAATACTGCATTGCTGAAGTGTAATTTCTCTGACATTCATAATTTTAACCCATCAAATCCAGAGCAGATCAAGCCAGCAATTCCTGGGCTGTGTAAAATGGCACAACCCTAGTAAAAACAGAAGGCAGTGCCCTCGTGCTAAGAGCACAAGGCTGAGGTTTCTTTTGAAAAGCTGCAGTGAACCTGATGAGCATTGTGTTCCTTGCAAATTTCTATGCAGGCCCCCATCTCATTTATTCTCCCTCATACCTTCTCTGTAAAGCTGCAGGATGGCCACTTTATAGGTGGTACATACTGGACATCACCCTGGAACCCTGAAATGACTACGAGTTTGCTACTAAGTTTAGCCCCACCAGGACTGAACTCAGTATAGATAGGTGGTGAATGGATCAGATGTAACATTTAGGGCCAGCCACTTTGCAGATGAAAATGAGTGCAACTACGGTGATTTCAGTGGAGGTCTTTCAGCACAGGCAGTCCTGAACTGCAATCCCAGAATCACTGAAAGAAAATTCTGAGTATTCCAGTAGAAACCCTTCTGCCTTTTGCTTAGATAATGGATGAAAACCAGCCTTTTGGATTAAAAGTAATTTGATGGAAACAGTCTAGTAGAGAAATACTGCTGTTGAGTTCAGTGATAGGAGGCTTTGTTGTAGTAGGTAAGACATTACTTGAATTATTGGGACACTTAAACACCTTTGCAGTTATATAGAATTATACTATGTGATTTTTTTATTATTTTTTTCATCGTTGATGCAGAATTATTTTTTTTTCTTTTTGTAGTGCAAATATCATGACATTAAAGATATGACAGCAGTTTCTACTTCATAAAGTAACCAGAGACCACCATTCAGTCAAAATGGCCTCTCTCATGTGATAGGGAAAAGTAACCAAAAGATAGTTATGCCAGGACAGCCCTCATCCTTTTTAATTTCTACCTGTAAGGCAAGCCTTTATCAATAAAATGCTAATTTTGTCTCTGAAATAAATGAAGGGGAGTGGGTGAAAAAGAGATTCTTTGGAGCAGTCACTGACAAAAAGCCATTATGTACATTCAGATCTACTCACATCTGGGAAAAAATTGTTGTCTAGAAATTAGGTGATTGGATTGAGTTGCTTTTGGGTTTGTTCTGTTGCTTTATTTTTGTTGTGGTTTTCTTTTTTCTTTCTTTTTACTGTTGCCTTAATTTTCTTAGGAGAAATGTGTTTTAAGGCGTCATAGACTTCCAGATAGCAACAGACTGAAAGGAGAGGAAGAAGTGACAGCAGGTCAAGTTTAGGTTAATCTGAGAGAGAAAGTTGTGTGGGCAGTATTTATTCCAACTATGGCACATAATTCTGACTATGGCATAGAGTCTGACTATGGCATAGAGCTGCAATTCCCTGCAAAGCAAAATAAGAAAATACAGCTGGAAAAGTATACTGCAGAAGGTATGCCTAAGAATTCAAAGAGGCATGAAAAGAACTTTTTGGACAGCTCTAAAAGCACTGTCTTGGGGGTTCTGAAACAGCTGCATTTCAAACACATCATTGTGTTTTATGTAGAGCAGGATTTGTTGGAGAGGTTGACAGATTGCATCAGTGATAACTGGGTTTTTTTTTTATGAATGTCTTTGACAGCTATAAAATTCTGAGAGAGATGCTTGGAAAGTAGCATCTGCAAATTGAATTGTCCCTTCTTTTGCCTCTCAGTGTCCTTTTTTCCATTTCAGGCAAGGTGAGATAACTTGTTCCCAGAAAGCCCCTTTTGTGCTGACTTTTTTTTTTTTTCCAGTGCAGAAATAAAAAAGAACTGACACAACTCATATTCTGTGGCTGATGTATTGTTTCTGAACCAAGCCCTTCCATGAGTTTCCAAATCCTTTTCTTCTCCTCTCTTTTCTGTCTTACTCAGCATATTCCCCTTAAAGCTGTATCCGTCAAGGTCATAGTCTGCAAAGAGCTAATTGATTCTTCTTTCTCCTGGAGCCTGGGAGGGAAAGCAGAAGAGAGACAATCCTTGTAATTGTGTCTGGTGCATTAGGTTGAAGACTGGTCTCACTACTATTATTATAATTTGCCCTTTCTTGATAAAGAAATAATCATTTCTGTTTGGTTTAGGTTTTATATTGTAGTACGATTTCCCCTTTGCTGAAACAGAAAGGAAAGGTGAGTGTTTTAAATCATTCCCATATTTAGGGAGCTTGCCAATCTTAGCATAATTACATCAGAGAAGATTTCATTACAAGTGGGATATAATAGTAAGCACTAATCTACAATCTCCCTCCTTCTGAGAAGACATACAGATTGCAAAAGTGCTAACACAGTTTAGGAGCTAAATTTTACTTCTTCCTACACCATCAGTTTTAAATTCAGTTCCACCCTTTACCCAGGCTGGTAAGAGATGTGCCTCTGTAGTACTGTCAAAACTGTGTTTCTGTAATAACTGTACCTCTACATCTGCATACCAGCCACTCCCTTTAAAGGTCTTCCCACTGCCTGTTCTTCCCATTTAAGCGGATTTCTCCCAGCGTCACCCACCAAGGTCCATGTAGGGTTGCCGTTGCAGAGTGACAGCTCTGCCAAAGGAGTGCAGCACTCCTGCGTTTTGGCTCTGCCCTGAAGGAGAGGTGCCTGAGCCCATGGCTTTGGGATCACAACTCTCCTGACTTGGTGAAGTGCCACAGGGCACACGAGAGGCAGGGCATGAGAAAGACCACAACACAAACACTGCTGAAGTGGGTTTCTCTGGGAGAAACTCCAGAGCAAAAAGCCTGGCAGGGAGCAGGGTTCAGAGGATGCCATCTCCCTGGTGGCACATCCATGCTGCTCCTTTGTCTTTTCTGCTTTTGGCTTCTCTGACCACCCTGTGTGCCATGTGTTGATAGGCCAGCTGCATGCCTCATGGCATTCTGTTGGCCAGTGGATGACCAAAAGGCACATCTCCATCTCCCTACCTCTGTGCCTACAGAGTTGTGCTGGCCGTAAGACGCTCGAGGGTGAGTGCAGCACCAGACTTGTGCATTCCCCTTGGGCCAGGAAGGGCTCCCTTCTACTTCATCAGTGCAGGCCCTCACCTGGAAAACATGGCAAAGCAAAGAAAGGATTGTGCACTGCAGTCAGCCATCCCTGACTGGGACTGCTCCTATCTGGTGTTTCTGGTTTCTGCTGCCGCTTCAGGTGTGCTGGGCCAGCATCAGCAAGGGTTGCTGCTTTCTCATCCTTCGTGAAAGAAGCATTGAAAGAGTGCCTCTGAGAACTGGTAGTGGGTGTTTACCTAGGAAGTGGTCTTACCTCACCTCCAAAGTTATCCAGTTGTAATGACTGAATTTCTTGTGTCTTTTTAGTGCTAGGTATGAGGAAAATGAAAACTAACCTGTCTCTTGTTTTGGTATCATACTGTAAATATTCCTTGCAATTTCTCTCTGGCTCTTTCACCTCCTCTTGTTCTTTCTCAGCTCTGCATTTGACATCCTGCTCCTGTACTCAGTGATTTGTGAAGGTCTGTATTTCACCTCTGTGGCAAGCTGGAGGGAGGCTTTCCCTCCAGTTATAGTTGTTGCAGCCCAGCTGAAGGCTTTGATTTATGGCTAGAAAGGGTTTGTTCACAGCAGCTGCACACAGTGTTTGTTCTTCTTTTTTTTTTTTTTTTGACACTTCTAATTCTGATGCATTTTTTGCAGTTGAAATCTTCATCAGAACACCATAGGTTTGAGTCCATGCCTGGCAGCCTCTGAAGGTGTCAAAGTTAGGGAAGTTTTGGAGAGCTGCAGGAAACTACTAACAGGAGGGGAGAGTAGATGATACAGTACAGGCTGTATCAGCCTTTTGTACACTCACTGTTATTATGAAGGGCAGCACCACAAAGGAGATTGCATTATCCCCAAAGCTTGAAGATGCAGGAGGAGAGCACCTCCATTATACAGTTTTAAAGTTGATTAGCTTCAGACACCTAACTTAAGTGCCTACATTAGGAAGATAGGCAGCCTTCAGCTTCCTATTCACCATAAAGGAAGGGACCTCCCTCAGGCAATTCCCAGTGTGACTGTAGCAGGAGTTACTCTCCAATGAGTCTACAGGGAGACTAACCTTGCCATTCAGTTTCTAAGTTAAATGTCTGCTATACAGTGTGAAGACTCATTTTGAAAGCCATGATTTTTCCTGGACATGCCCTGTGAATTAACAATGTTTTGTCACAGAG